CGAACGCGCCTGATGATTCACAATCGATTTCTGTGACTATGAGCTCTGTAACCCTACAGCTCGAGTTGAGTACAGAAAACCGAGAGCGTCTGCTACGATGACTCGAATACTACGAATAGGTTTGCGGACCTAGCTCGGCTAGCAGACCGAGTTCAGACCTCTGGATTCAACAGGCGAACGCGCCTGATCACTCTGAATCGATTAGCTGTGCTTACCAGCTCTGTAGCTGTCCTGAAGCTCGAGTTATCTTGAGAAAACCGACAGCGCGTATCAAGATGACTCGAAACGGCCGATCCCGCCGGAATGCTTTTTGGCAGTGAAAGGTACCTGATCGAGCTGAGATCAAGATGGCGAGCGGGAATGAGATCGAATATCACGGGAAAAAATATTAGAGCTCAAACGAATTGTTGAATTTCGAGAACAAAATGTTCAACCGACCAAAAGTCACCAAAAGGTCCGTCGAGATTTTTCTTGCCAACTAGCTCTCCTGCGCCCCGGAATTACTCTTAAGCTTCCAGCAATAACTGGGCGCCGGCGGTAAACCGTCAACCTTTCTTACCGCCGGGGAGTCGTAGAGCTTCCTGACAGTATATAATGTGGAAAAAAATCCAGAGAATTTCAGCCCAAGCCAGACCTCTCAAGGTGACTCTGGCAAAAAAAACGAACAGTTTGAAACCCAGCTCGAGTGTCAAACCGAGTTCAGACCTCTGAATGCGACAGGCGGACGCGTCTGATGTCTGTGAATCGACTCCTGTGAGAAACCAGCCCTGCAGCCCCCCTACAGCCCGAGTTAAGTGCAGAAACCGACAGCAGCTCTCAGGATGACTTGAATAATACAATAGTTTCGCGGCGCTAGTTCGAGCAGCAGACCGAGTTCCGAGCTCTCGGTTCGACAGACGGACGCGTCTGATGTCTCCAAATCGATTTCTGTGACCAGCAGCACTGTAGCCCTCCCCCAGCACGAGTTAAGTGCAGAAAACCAAGAGCACCTCTCAAGATAACTCAAACAATACGAATAGCTTCGCAGACCTAGCTCGGGCAGCAGGCCGAGGTCAGTCGATTGAACAGACGAACGCGCCTGATGATTTCCAATCGATTTCAGTGACTATGAGCTCTGTAACTGCCCTACAGCTCGAGTTAAGTACAGAAAACCGAGAGCGTCTGCTACGATGACTCGAATAATACGAATAGGTTTGCGGACCTAGCTCGGCTAGCAGACCGAGTTCAGACCTCTGGATTCGACAGACAAACGCAACTGATAATTCTGAATCGGTTTCTGTATATCAGCTCTGTAGCTGTCCTACGAGTTAAGTACAGAAAACCGAGAGTTCATGACAAGATAACTCCAATAATACGAATAGATTTGCGGACCTAGCTCGGCTAACAGACCGAGTTCAGACCTCTGGATTCAACAGGCGAACGCGCCTAATCATTCTAAATCGATTAGCTGTGCTTACCAGCTCTGTAGCTGTCCTGAAGTTCGAGTTATCTTGAGAAAACCGACAGCGCGTGTCAAGATGACTCGAAACGGCCGATCCCGCCGGAGTGCTTTTTGGCAGTGAAAGGTACCCGATCGAGCTGAGATCAAGATGGCGAGCGGGAATGAGATCGAATATCACGGGAAAAAATATTAGAGCTCAAACGAAATGTTGAATTTCGAGAACAAAATTTTCAACCGACCAAAAGTCACCAAAAGGTCCGTCGAGATTTTTCTTGCCAACTAGCTCTCCTGCGCCCCGGAATTACTCTTAAGCTTCCAGCAAGAACTGGGCGCCGGCGGTAAACCGTCAACCTTTCTTACCGCCGGGGGACTCGTAGAGCTTCCTGACAATATATAATGTGGAGAAAAATTCCACAGAATTTCAGCCCAAGCCAGACCTCTCAAGATGACTCTGGCAAAAAAACCAACAGTTTGGAACCCAGCTCGAGTGTCAAACCGAGTTCAGGCCTCTGAATGCGACAGGCGGACGCGTCTGATGTCTGTGAATCGACTCCTGTGATTACCAGGCCTGCAGCCCCCCTACAGCCCGAGTTAAGTGCAGAAACCGACAGCAGCTCTCAGGATGACTTGAATAATACAATAGCTTCGCAGAGCTAGTTCGAGCAGCAGACCGAGTTCCGAGCTCTCGGTTCGACAGACGGACGCGCCTGATGTCTCCAAATCGATTTCTGTAACCAGCAGCACTTCAGCCCTCCCCAGCACGAGTTAAGTGCAGAAAACCGAGAGCACTTCTCAAGATGACTCGAACAATACGAATAGTTTTGCGGAAACAGACGAACGCGCCTGATCATTCCCAATCGATTTCTGTGACTATGGGCTCTGTAACTGCCCTACAGCTCGAGTTAAGTACAGAAAACAGAGAGCGTCTGCTACGATGACTCGAATAATACAAATAGGTTTGCGGACCTAGCTCGGCTAGCAAACCGAGCCCAGACCTCTGGATTCAACAGGCGAACGCGCCTAATCATTCTGAATCGATAAGCTGTGCTTACCAGCTTTGTAGCTGTCCTGAAGTGCGAGCTTGAGAAAACCGACAGCGCGTATCAAGATGACTCGAAACGGCCGATCCCGCCGGAGTGCTTTTTGGCAGTGAAAGGTACCCGATCGAGCTGAGATCAAGATGGCGAGCGGGAATAAGATCGAATATCACGGGAAAAAATATTAGAGCTCAAACGCATTGTTGAATTTCGAAAACAAAATGTTCAACCGACCAAAAGTCACCGAAAGGTCCGTCGAGATTTCTTGCCAACTAGCTCTCCAGCGCCCCGGAATTACTCTTAAACTTCCAGCAATAACTTGCTAGGGGAAGCTCTACGAGTTACTTGCTGAGGAAAGCTCCACGAGTTACTTGCTGAGGGTAGCTCTACGAGTTACACTTGGTAGCGTCCAAAACCCGGAGAGCATAGAGCGCACACTGGGCGCCGGCGGTAAACCGTCAAGCTTGGTTACCGCCAGGAGACTCGTAGAGCTTCCTAGCTCGACTTAAGTTGAGAAAACCGACAGCATCTACCAACATTCCGACTTATAGTGAATATTTTTTGACCTCTGAATGCGGCAGGCGGACGCGTCTGATGTCTGCGAATCGACTCCTCATTACCAGCCTTGCAGCCCCCCTAGAGCCCGAGTCAAGTGCAGAAAACCGACAGCACAGTACAGTAGTTTCGCAGACCTAATTCAGGAAGCAGACCGAGTTCCGAGCTGGATTCGACAGGCGGATGCGCCTGATGTCTTCAAATCGATTTCTCTGACCATCAGCACTGTAGCCCCCCTCAGCGCGAGTTCAGTCAAGAAAACCGAGAGCACTTCTCAAGATGACTCGACCAATACGAACAGTTTTGCGATTCTAGATCCAGCAGCAGACCGAGTTCAGAGCTCTCGATTCGACAGACAAACGCAACTGATAATTCTGAATCGGTTTCTGTATATCAGCTCTGTAGCTGTCCTACGAGTTAAGTACAGAAAACCGAGAGTTCATGACAAGATAACTCCAATAATACGAATAGATTTGCGGACCTAGCTCGGCTAACAGACCGAGTTCAGACCTCTGGATTCAACAGGCGAACAAGCGTAATCATTCTACATCGATGAGCTGTGCTTACCAGCTCTGTAGCTGTCTAAAGCTCGAGGTATCTTCAGAAAACCGTCAGGGCGTATCAAGATGACTCAAAACGGTCGATCCTGCCACAGTGCTTTTCGAGTAATATCCATCCAATCGAGCTGAGATCAAGGTGGCGAGCGGGAATAAGATCGAATATCACGGGCAAAAATACTAGAGCTCAAACGAATTGTTGAATTTCGAGAGCCAAATTTTGAATCAACAAAAGTCACCAAAAGTTCCGTCGAGATGTTTCTTGCAGATGGGCGCCGGCGGTAAACCGTCAACCTTTCTTTTGCGGACTTTGCGGTCGACTGCGCAGGCTTTCCAGCCTAGTCGGAGCAAGGAGCGGACGTATCCAAACAGGCAAGGCGTGAGTGAGCATAAACTCTTATTCACATCAAACCAGTCCGAAATACGCATGTTCAACCCGCCGTATGACAAGAGGCATCTGCTCAACGTCACATGTGAAGTAATCAACGAATTAGACGGGGAAACAACCCGTGGAAGAACGTCACCTGAAGAATATGAGGGGCTCCTGCCCTTTACACACCTGAAGCGCTTAGTGGGGCCCACAGCGGGCCGTAGAGCCATCATGGCTCCAGCGAGAGGTCAAACAGAGAGATAAAGTGAGGAAAACAAGAACAGGTGAGATACAAGCATTACAGCCTTCGCTGTTCTAAACCGAAAGTTGCATACAAGTGCGCACGAATAGCTTCATCCCAACTTGTCGAAACTCCTCGGGCGTCCGAAGAATATTATTCGGTAATCGCTGCACTTGGAAACCTCAAGAAACTTGGCCATCTCGGCGCGATTCATTTGTCCTGTCAAGAACCTGTGCACCTCGAAGAATCCTAGAAGATCCTCCAGCGTCGCTTGCACATTCTGGAGCATCTCATACAGCTTCCGAGCATAATCTGTTTGGGCCTTCTTTGTAGGGAAACCACGTGCTGTCACCAGCTTATCAAACAAATCCATTCCGTTCTTTAAATACTGGATCGCATTCAACTCGTTGATGCTGGCAACAGCGTCAATCCACGCTTTGACATCGGTAATGGTGGCCTGAGAGCACGTCGATGTCCCCTTGACCTTGTCACGATCTCTCCCTCGAGTCCTCTGGCGCGACTCCTTCGATACCTCATTGAGCGTGACGGGGCGATTCAGACACCCCTGGGACGCTCCTGACAAGGCGCGGCTATCAGAATCAGACTGCACGTTCGGAGAAAACTCCGCACTCGAGGGTGCCTCCAGCTCCTCCTCCGCCGCCACAGTCACTTTCCCAAGAAGAACTCCTGAAGCTCCTCCCTCCATCCCTACGACACTAGCTGTCTGGCAGCCGACTTCACAATGAAAGTCCGCAACATCAACCGTCTGCACTCCAACATCAACCAGCGATTGAGAAGCCTGCACTCCAATATCTACATCAACCAGCGATTCAGAAGCCTGCATACGGCAAGAAAGATTATCCGAAACAGTCTTAATGTCAGCCTCCTCCTCCTCCTCCTCCAATATGCGTTTAACAACAGGTGGATCGCGCAACAAGAGATAATCTAGAACCACATCGGCAGTCGCCCGCTCCAGCCCTGGTGGTGGGAGACACGTAGGTGGCACCAAACCATCCAGAGGCAAACGAATAGGTAAATGCACACAGTATCCGTTTTGAACAGCCAGCGCCCGACGCATAATGCGAGCACTTGCACTCCGTACGTGTGGCATAACGAAAGATTGCAGAGACTGCCTCGGAAGCACCCAGCAAAACAAATCAATTGAAGACAACTCAAGGCGATCAAACGTGTCAAATGAATGGCAGCGCAATATCACTCTAGGCGACAAACGTGTGAAACAAATCAATTGAAGACCACTCAAGGCGATCAAACGTGTCAAATGAATGGCAGTGCAATATCACTCTAGGCGACAAACGTGTGACTCCCTGACGCGCACTCGATCCCACTGGAGGTTACCCAGGCAGAGGGGATCAAATGTCAAGCGCCTTGAGCCGGGGGGACTCGTAGAGCTTCCTCAACATATAATGTAAACACACTGAAAAAAAAGCTGTTTCAGCCCAAGCAATTTCAGACCTCTCGGATGCAACAGCCGAACGCCCCCGATGCTTCTGGATTGTCTTCTGTACGAGCTCTGTAGCTCCCCTACAGCCCGAGTTTCGTGCGTAAATCGACAGCACCTCTCAAGATGACTCGAACAATACAAATAGTTTGGCAAACCTAGCTCGAGTATCACACCGAGATCAGACCTCTGCATGCCACAGGCAGACGCGTCTGATGTCTCTAAATCGATTCCTGTGATTACCAGCCCTGCAGCTTCCTTACAGCCCGAGTTAAGTGCAGGAAACCGACAGCACCTCTCAACATGACTTAAACAATACGAATAGTTTTGCGGACCTAGATCGTGCAGCGGACAGAGTTCGGAGCTCTGGATTCGAGAGGCGGACGCGCCTGATGTTCGGAATCGATTCCAGTCATTACCAGCCATGCAGCCCCTCTACAGCCCGAGTTAAGTGCAGAAAACCGAGAGCACTTCTCAAGATGACTCGAACGATACGAATAGTTTTGCGACTCTAGATTGGGCAGCAGACCGATTACAGAGCTCTGGATTCAACAGACAACGGCCCCTGATGATTCTGAATCGGATTATGTACGTATCAGCTCTGTAGCTGTGCTGTAGCTCGAGTTAAGTACAGAAAACCGGGAGCGTCTGTCAAGATGACTCGAATAATACGAATAGATTTCCAGACCTAGCTCGGCTAGCAGACGGAGTTCAGACCTCTGGATTCAACAGGCGAACGCGCCTAATCATTCTGAATCCATAACCTGTGCTGACCAGCTCTGTAGCTGTCCTGAAGCTCGAGTTATCTTGAGAAAACCGTCACCGCGTGACAAGATGACTCGAAACGGCCGATCCCGCCTGTGTGCTTTTTGACCGTAAAAGGTACCCGATCGAGCTGAGATCAAGATGGCGAGCGGGAATGAGATCGAATATCACGGGAAAAAATACTAGAGCTCTAACGAATGGTTGAATTTCGAGAACAAAATTTTCAACCGACCAAAAGTCACCAAAAGGTCCGTCGAGATAAATCTTGCCAACTAGCTCTCCAGCGCCCCGGAATTACTCTTAGCTTCCAGCAATAACTTGCTAGGGGAGCTCTACGAGTTACTAGCTCTCCAGCGCGCCGGAATTACTCTTAGCTTCCAGCAATAACTGGCGCCGGCGGTGAACCGTCAACCTGGTCACCGCCGGGAACCTCGTAGAGCTCCTCTCACTAGTAAGAGTGCAGAGAATCGACACAGAATCAAAAAATAAAGATTTTTCGAAAATTTTGAAATTTAATTTTTTCGATGTTCATATTCGCTCAGTTCCCGGAAGTCAACTCATGCAAAAATGCATCGAGAGAGCTGAGCTGCTATCAGAGAGGAGTTAATATGCCAATGCTCGGCGTAAAAATCTGCTTTTTCAAAATAAATGGTCAAATATCTTTCAAATTCTCGCAAAACCACCCAAAAGTTGTCACATTGTCCGCCTCGGCCGGCTGGGCCAACTAGCTCCACCCCGCGCCAGAATTCCTCTAGCTCATCGATGCCGAAGAGCTCTACGAGGTACTTAGCGTCGAAAACCCGAAGAGCGAAGACACCCTCCGGGACGGGGAATCTTTCTTGGGGCGCTCCGGGGGGCCTTGCTGCAGCACTGCTCAAGCGCTGCCAAAAAAGTTTCCATGCGTGCCTGCACGCACGCGCGTGGAATCTTGCCGGAAGCTCTCCCGGACCCGTCGCCGGCTCACCGGAGTCGCTGCGAGGTCTTTGGGGCGCCGTGGATGAGCTCCTGGCGGGCACCACCACCGTCCGGCTTCTAATGTTGAACCCTTTAGCTCTCGGCGCGCTCTCCGGGAAAAAACACCAGAAAGCTTTCCTGGCGAGCCCTCCAACGCTCTCGTAAAGCTCCTCTGGCGCTCTGGGGAGCTTCCCTGCAGCGCTGCCGAAGCGCTGCCAGAATCGTTTCCATGCGAGCCTGCACGCGTGCGGGCACGCGTGGAAGCGTGCCGGAAGCTCTCCCGGACCCGCTGCCGGCTCAGGCGAGTCGCTGCGGGGATCTTGGAGCGGCGGAGATGGGCTGCTGGCGTGCACCACCACCGTCCGGCTTCCAATCCTAAACCCTCTAGCTCTCAGCGAGCTCCCTGGGAAATAACTCGCAGGGCTTCCCTTAGCAAGTTGTCGCTGGAAGCTTAAAAGTAATTCCGGGGTGCTGGACAGCTAGTTGGCAAGAAAAATACTTCGTAGAGCTCTTTGGCAAGATGGGCTAAGAGGAATTCGGGCGCAGAGTGGAGCTAGTTCCCGGAGAGCTCTCTGGGAGCTAGAGGGTTTTAGATTAGAAGCTGGGCGGTGGTGGTGCCCGCCAGCAGCCCATCTTCGCCGGTCCACGATCCCCGCAGCGACCTGTAAAACCTCGCAGCGGGTCCGGGAGAGCTTCGGGCAAGCGCTTACGCGTGCCTGCACGCGCGCAGGCACGCGTGGAAGCGTTCCTGGCAGCGCTTCGGAAACACTGCCGGGGAGCCCCCCAGAGCCCCAGATAAGCCCCAGATGAGCCCCAGGAAAGCTTTCCAGAGTTTCCAGAGTGTGCTCCCTTTATCTCCGGGTTTCGGACGCTACCAAATGACTCGCAATGACTCGTAGAGCTTCCCTAAGCTAGCAGCTGGAAGCCTAAGAGTAATAACGCGTGGAGCTTCCCTAAGCTAGTTGCTGGAAGCTTAAGAGTAACTCCGGCGCGCTGGAGAGCTAGTTGGCAAGAAAAGTAACTCGTAGAGCCGGGCGGTGGTGGTGCCCGCCAGCAGCCCATCTTCGCCGCTCCACGATCCCCGCAGCAACTCGCCCGACCCGGCAGCGTGTCCGGGAGAGCTTCCGGCAAGCTTCCACGCGAGCTCCCACGCGTGCAGGCACGCGTGGAAGCGTTCCTGGCGGCGTTCCAGAGACGCTGCAGGGGGGCCCCCCGAGCCCCAGAACAGCTTCACGAGAGCTTCTGTGGGCTTGCCAGGAAGGCTTTTCAGAGCGCGTCCTCTTTGCTCTCCGGGTTTTGGACGCTACCTAGTCTTCCCTAAGCTAGTTGCTGGAAGCTTAGGAGTAACTCGTAGAGCTTCCCTTAGCAAGTTATTGCTGGAAGCTAAGAGTAATACCTCGTAGAGCTATTCGGCATCGATGAGCTGGAGGAATTCGGGCGCGGGGTGCAGCTAGTTGGCCGACCCGGCGCTGGCGATGGTGGTGCCCGCCAGCAGCCCATCTCCGCCGCTCCTCGATCCCCGCAGCGCCTCGCCTGACCCGGCAGCTGGTCCGGGAAAGCTTCCGGCAATCATCCACGCGTGCCTGTACGCGCGCAGGCACGCGTGGAAGCGATCCTGGCAGCGCTTCAGAGACGCTGCAGGGGGGCCTCAGAGCCCCAGATAAGCTTCACGAGAGCTTCGCTCGCCAGGAAGGATTTCCGGTGTGCGTCCTCTTTGCTCTCCGGGTTTTTCCCGGAGAGCTCGCTGAGAGCTAAAGGGCTTAAGATTAGAAGCCAGACGCTGGTGGTGCCCGCCAGGAGCTCCTCCACGGCGGTCCACGTTCCCCGCCGAAACTCCGGCGGCCCGGAAACGTGTCCGGGAGAGCGTCCGGCAAGCTTCCACGCGTGCCTGCACGCGTGCAGGCACGCATGGAAGCGTTTCTGGCAGCGATTCAGCAGCGCTGCAGGGGGGCTCCCCAGAGCCCTCCAGGAAAAAAATTCCGCTCCCGTGGGTCTCTTCGCTCTCCTGGTTTTTCCCGGAGAGCTCGCTGAGAGCTAGAAGGTTTAAGATAAGAAGCCGGTCGTTGGTGGTGCCCGCCAGCAGCCCATCTTCGCCGGTCCAGAATCCCCGCAGCGGTTCGTTCGACCCGGCAGCGTGTCCGGGAGATCTTCGGGCAAGCTTCCACGCGAGCCTGCACGCGTGCAGGCACGCATGGAGGCGTTTCTGGCAGTGCTTCCGCAGCGCTGCAGGGGAGCTGTCCAGAGGGCCAGAAAAGCTTTGCGAGAGCGCTGCAGGGCTCGCCCGGAAAGCTTGCTGGTGCGCTTGCCCTATGCTCTCCGAATTTTGGACGCTACCAAGTGGACGCTACGAATAACTCGTAGATCTTCCCTAAGCTAGTTGCTGGAAGCTTAAGAGTAATTCAGGCGCTGGAGAGCTAGTTGGCAAGAAAAATCTCGACGGAACTGTTGGTGACTTTTGCTCGGTTGAAAATTATGTTCTCAAAATTTGAACATTCGTTTGAGCTCTAGTATTTTTTCCCGTGATATTCGATCTTATTGCCGCTCGCCATCTTGATCTCAGCTCGATCGGGTGGATATTACTATCAAAAAGCTCTGTAGCGGGATCGGCCGTTTCGAGTCATCTTGATATGCGCTGACGGTTTCCTGAACATAACTCGAGCTTTAGGACAGCTACAGAGCTGGTGAGCACAGCTAATCGATATAGAATGATTAGGCGCGCTCGCCTGTTGAATCGAGAGGTCTGAACTCGGTCTGTTAGCCGAGCTAGGTCCGCAAACCTATTCGTATTATTCGAGTCATCTTGACAGGAACTCTCGGTTTTCTGTACTTAACTCGAGCTGTAGGACAGCTACAGAGCTGATATTTACAGGAACTGATTCAGAATCATTATTCGCGTTTGTCTGTCGAATCCGGAGCTCTGAACTCGGTCTGCT